TAAAATAATTTATGCGGACTAAAATACATGTCAAATGCGATGTATGGTAATGGTGATACTGATAGTAATAACAGCGATATCACTGCATGATAACAATGTGCCTGCGATCAATAAAAATAACGCGAACTTCACTACATACTCACCTCCATTTAGCATCGTTCCACCATTGCGTTACTTCTCCGAGATTCCATTCGAGTTTGCTCTTTTCAACGCGAAGTGTATCAACCGCTCTGGACATCTCTTCATATTTTGAGTAATCAACTCCACCAGCCTCCATGAACTTAAAGTGTTGAATTGACAGGTAATGCTTGAATCAGAAGACGTTGCTGTACTGATAAACATGTGATAAATTCAGAATCATACAATAGATTTGTGAGATGTTTGCATCATTAGAAATAAAATTGTGCATACTAAAATCATTCACAAGTCATTCAACTTGGAAAAGAGATGTAACCTAACCTTTCTTTTTTCCTCTTCCATTTCCTTACTCAATCTTTCATTCTCGCTCTTCAGCCACGACAACTGTCCATGAACGTCACCGAGTTCACGACCTTGATTGGCGACTCTTTCATTCGCAATCCACAGTTCTTCTCCCATACGACGTGCTTCACTTTCCAAAAACAGTACACGTTCTTTCGATGCTTCTGCCTCTTTTTCAACGCGTTTCAACTGAAACGTTTAGCAAACTAATAATGATACAAGCTCCAACTGAACTATCACTTAAACATCCGTAATTATCATTCACAGTTGTTTTCTTTCATTAAATTTTCTGTCCATCCGAAAACAATCCAAATACGATCCCAAATTTTCAACAGTTGAGAGATATGAGAATGCACTTATTTCACCATTGGTAAGGTAGTTCTGATCGAATGGTTATTCTTGTCCATATGAATAATGCATACCTTTTCTTGCAAATCGTATTTGTTACGGCTCACTTTAATAAGTTCCTCCGATAACTCATCCAGATCAGTTGCTGAGACTGTTGGCTCAACAGTGCTCGGCGATTCTAAAATAAGGAGCACTAATCATAAGAGAATGAGTGCATTTAGACGAATTAAGAGCTGGAAGGGAAATGACATTTCGACTGAATGGGTC